TTGTCTCTTTTGGTAACTCATAAGAGACATTGTCTCTTTTGGTAACTGTGCAGTAAAATCCAAGATCTTTTTAATTAACAAATTATAAATAACTGGGTTAACTAATCTGACTACATAGCTTTTATTTGGAGTTCAATATGTGCAGTTGTTACATTCTCTTAGTTTCTTTGGAACACTGGAACCATTGTTACACTGGTTGTGTGGCATCCAAAATTTGATCACATGACCCTGGGGATGCTGTGGTGGCGGTAAGTGCAAGAACCAGTTGAAAGTCACTTTTTTCAGTGCTGTTGTTAACTTTGAACAGTCACTAAATGAATGGTTGCAAGTTGAGGATGACCTGCCCATCTTGCCTAGCCAAAGTTCCTAGCAATGTCTTAATCCTGCAGTTCTCATCATTGCCAAGTGGTCTAAGGAAGCCCTGTCACTTGCTAGGCTTTTTATTTTTTTCCAAAGCTCCCTGAGAGGCTTCATCAAGAACCAAGGCTCTCTACTTCCCCAGATCAAATTTCCATTCTTTTCCTGCACATTGTAGCAGCAAACATGAAAGGAAGATCTGCTTCTTCCATCTCTGTAAATAAGTCAATGTATACATGCAATGAATTGTACTGGTTTTCTTTAAGAGCTTCCTCTGCTATATAGAATAACAAATCAGCAGAGGTCATAAAATATACTTGTGTATTATGTCTGTTAAGAGGATGGCAGCCTGATAAGAGAATATAAAACTCCTGGATCTTCTCTGGAACCCATGATGTCTCCCCAGTATTGCAACTATCTGGCTAATAGTGAACTCCCTGTGTGAGCATCTCATGACATGAACCTCTTGGGGATGAAATGAAATCAGATGAAATAAAACCATCTACATGGAAAGGAAACAAGCATGTCCTCCTCACTCACCTTCTCTTCCCGAGTGGTCCCTACACCTTCTCCAAGATTAGTGTCTCGAGGTTGTAGCTCCAAAACAGTACGGAAAAGCTTCTCTGATGTTTGGGTTAAGAAGCCAATTTCTGCATTGGGGTGGAGGCCATATAGATATGGAGATTCAGGAGGTAGGGCATCATCGATATACTAAGCAGGAAAATGATATGTACACTCAGCAAATGACAAATACCACGTATTCATTCATTCATCCATCTATCCATCCATTCATTAATTCATCATATTTATATAGCTTCCAATCTCATCGTCAGGTGATTCTGAGTGGCATGTAATGCTCTCAGTCATCTGCAGTTTTACTGAACCTCTAAGTTAAACCAAATCATCACGATGCTGCATTTATAAGCAGATGAGCCCTTGCCAATTGTAATTAGTTAAAATTAATCATTAGGCATTTTCAACAGATATATTTTTCGGTATATTTTGGTATGAATCAGTCTCAGTCCTAATTAGAATACAGTTTTGATGACTGTCCAAGGTGACATTAAAGAGTCAAAAGTACTCTAAAATAATAATAGTGAGGATAAAGACTCCTGCTAGGAAATTCCTACACAGGTCTACAGAAAGTATAGTACAGGTACAATGACAGAGAAGCTAGCATCTTTCAGACATTTTGGCCCAAATCCCCTTAATTCCAGCCAGCATGATCAGTAGCAAAGATCAATGGGAGCTATTGCCCAAAACATCTAGAAAAACCTGATACCCTGGATTGCAATTTGAAACTATTTTTGAGTTTACAGATAAAAATTTTCAATAGGCCTCCTAAGGCTAGAGAATCAACAACACAAATGTTTTTTTCTATCCTTGCATGAACTGGACAAGGACAGGACCAATTGTCATTTTACAATCAGAAAGGGTTATGAAGACAGAAGCAACAGATCTTGCCTAAAGCTCTGAATCCCTAAATTGCTTCCTTGTATGGCCATGAACTCCCACACAAATCAGGGCACAAACCAAGACTACCTGATGATAACCACTGTAGTCCATGTTTCCTGGGAGGGGAAATCCAGAAGCCAATAAGAATTCTCCTTCTAGCATTTCAGGCTTGATAAATTCTTCTAAGTAGGATTTACAGAGACGCCTATCCCAATCATCTGTAATGTGACCCCCATACATGATCTCTCCGAAGAGATACCGGAGGTCATCATAGGGAACCTAAATGCCAAAAAGGAAAGTTAGTTGGGCCAGTTCCTTACAGCATAGCAGCAGGCAATTCTTTTCCAATTCTTTGGAAATCTTAAAGTGGAAGTTTGTTTTTGTAGGAAACTGGGTGTAATATAGCAGTTATACAACTCCAGGCAACATCAGAGAGTTTTCATTTAGAGAAGCCCCATACTGTGGGACAGATTTTGTAAGTGTGTATAGATGTATGTGTGTGGACAACTGAAAGAGAGTAGGAGTGTCGCTGAAAACAAGTCTTCCCCCCATTCCTTAGACAGAAACACATTTATCTAAGCACTCAAACAAATATTTTTCAGAGAAGTTGTCCTAGTACAAGCCAGTTAGGAACATTCACAGAAATAGGATGATTAGATAAAAAGCATAATCTTTTCCAAAGTCACAAAAGGAAGGAGGGAAAAATGGCACATTGATAAGAGAACACTGCCCCATCCCCCTCAAAAAAAACCCCTAGTGATCTAGTGATCACCTATTAGAAAGTTAAAAAGTCAGTTCACCTTAGAAGTAGCCTCCAAGTAATTGTATAGAACATTGACAGAAATTGTGAGGTCCCCAATGTTAAATGGGTATGAACGATTCCAGCCCTGAGGGCCAAATTTGCGCCTTTCTGCTACCACAGCATGGAAATAACAGAGGGCAAAAAGGATGCTCTTGAACTCATTTTCACGGGTACACATCTCCAGGGTGTCCTGCAGGAAAAGAGAAATTGGTTTCCATAATAAATACCATCTTAGTCAGGTGTGTTCAACTTGCAACCCTGGATGGGCCCCCACAAGATCATAATAAAAAATATTTAAAAAATAAAGGAAGTTTGTTACTTATATACATTAACTATATTATATATTTCATATGGAGTCCAAGACTCTTCATACAATGCAGACCAGCGAAAGGTTGGATAACCATGATCTAAGTTTTCAGGTAGGAGCCAAATGAAGTGAAGAGCAATAATGACACACTGACCTATACAAAGAATTGGACAACAGTATCTGGGATTATGAAAATCTCCACTCATTCTCATTACTTGCAATGATCTGAGAAATTGTGAGAAAGCCAACGCTTCTCTTCCAGACCTACTCAGTTTATTTTCCATTGATAATCCATTCTGGCACTTTTTGGCCATTTTCATGACTTATTAATAAATAAATTATTTAGATAATGATTTTTCTCTGAACAAATAAAATGTCACTTTATGGTTGTCACAATGCTTTTATCTGGTTTTTAAAAAGTCATCTAAAAGCATGCTTTCTGAATATTTGATTAAATACTCTCTCAAACAGCCTGATCTCTATTAGATGATGGCTCTTCTTATAGTCTACTTATAGTGTGGCTGAGAGAGTAGATGGATAATTGCAGGAGTGATGTGACTGACAAATGTGCAACAAAAAGTTTCAATTGTTTGAAACAATTGAATTGAATCAATTCAATTGCTCAGTTTCAATTGTTTAGAGAACTTTCTGATCTAAATAAAGTCATGGGAAAAGAATCACCATGGACTAGAGTTGGGATCAATGAACGTTATCAATTGATCAAATTTATGTCCCCTGTCTGCCATAACGATGTTCAAGAGTACTCTGATTATTTGTGACAGAGCTGTTGTATGGTTAGCCAACACACAACATTGTTTCCCATGTAAATTAGAAATAGTGTCTACAAGCCTTAGGAATCATTCTTTCCCACATTTGTGTTTAACCTCCTGAATGAAGAGTGAGACGAAGGCCTGAGTCACAATATTAGGACAAATGCACCCTGTGTTTATTTATCCTCACACATTTCTCTAGTTGCAAACTTGAAAGAACAACAGAATGCTTATGCAATGAAAAACCTACCCTTTTTGTTCAAAAGGAATGTGGTAATAAACTCTTTGTAACCCCGTTTGTTTAATTATTTATTTATTTAAAACACTTAATATAGCCACCCATCACATAACCAGCTCTGGCCTGCTCTAATCATGTTTCAATATCTCTATGTGAATTCATCTTGTACTGATTGAACTAGAAGCTCAAAGCAGTTAATAAAGGTACAGAGGTACTGTCATAGCAGTTTTGTAGGCTATGAAATGTTTTATTTAAAAAGTCAGCCATTTTGACATACTACCTGATTTGTAGAAGCAAGAAAAGAAATATTCCATTTCACCCCTCTTTCTGGAATATAGAATGTTTTTCTTTGTATAATATTTCACTCTTATTTTTTATAAATCTCAAGGTGGTAAACCTACCTAATACTCCTTCCTCCTCCTAGTTTATGATGAATTATGAATGATAGAAGATGGGGAAAAGAACATGACAACATTAATCCCCATCCAGCCATGCCAATTCAGACATCCAGTGCTTTCTCCGAAGAGTACTGAGTAATGACAGGAGCTGTTAGAAAGCTAAAAAGCAGAGCCTTTCCCCACAAAAGCAAAAATGCTAATGCTTCAAACCTCCTGCATCTTCGACTGGGCTGCCTGAAAGCCTTAAGTTCAGAAAATTCATTCTCTTTTTCAAAGCAAGACTAGTCAACATACAAGAGGAAATGTTTGGCTAGTTTAGATAAACAATGTTGGCAGGGACTTTGAGATTACATACACAATTCAATTCTTGAATTGAAGGTTCCAGTTATAAGAGATGTCTCACCCCCAAGAGCTAATAGACCTGAATGGAGTAATCTTAATCCAGTTGTATAGCATTTCCTTGCCTGGCTCTGAGACAGAGCATCATCTCCCTGAGGTGGGAGCAGAGGGATACCTGGCTGAAGTTGTCCAGAGCCTTGTGCAGGTTGGCATGCATCCCAGTTGGAGGTTCATTTGTGATTTTGATGGAATTCTCAAGGATACCCTGTGGTATCAGATGGCTTTCAGGAGAAGCTGCAGGCTCTGCACTGATAAAGGTCCGGAAATCAGGGTGGCTACCTTCGCTGTGCTGCTCTAGTTTCTTCTCCAGAGAACTCAACCACTTGGCCACTAGGTGAATGTTCTAGGAGAGAAAGGCAAGGTTATTAGATCCTTCTCTTAAAGCAGCTGCTGCATCTATATCTTGCGGAAGATAAGAAGTACTGTAATACACACACACACACACACACACACACACACACACAGAGACGCACACAGACACAAACAAGAAGAAAAAAACACCTTGCCTAATAGCTCTGAGCACTATAAATCACTTCCCTGGGCATTAGCTGCACATAAACAATGTGGATTTTCTACACTTTGAAATGCAAATAATCAAGACAAATAGCCAGCAATTAAGGAAACAGTTCTGAATGTTTGTTTTCTTAGGGGTGATGATGGTATTCTGTTTGTTAGAATAATGTTACTGTTACTGAAATAACATTATTTCCTCCAGACAAAACAAATTTCTCATAAACGGCTGAAATAAAATTGTTAGATTATTCTTAATGAAATAATCCATCCTTGAAATCTAAGCTAGTTACCAGAAAATCAGATTTTACATCCTGCCCAGCTGAGGTCTTCAAATATTTGCAATGCTGGGACTTTTGCTCAGAATTACTCATTTCAGTTTTCCACCATTCCAGCATAGACGAGGTCGAGAAAGACTGACTGGCCCAAAATCACCCAGTGAGTTTTATATGGCAAGCTGAGACTGAGTCTTCCCACAAACTGAGATACCCATTCTACACCATATTGCCTGATATGGATGGAAGGATGGGAACTTTTGATGTTACCTGAGAAAAATGTAAACATGGCACCAGCATGAATGCTATAAAAGAAAATGTTTCCTGGTTCTTTGTACGAGTAACTCCATTATGGAAGGCAAAAGCAAATATACAATATATAGTTCTTTGAATAAAAATAAATAAGAAATAAATCTAAATTAAAGAATATTTTATCAAACATTTCAACTTTGATCTATGAGTAATGAAAATGTTAAAGGAAGACTTAAATTATTCTATCAAGATCGAGAAATCCAGGGCAGTCATCTATCTCAAATACAGATGCACAGAACCAAGGAATAGGGATTTACAAAAGCAGGCGGTTTCTAAACATGTCTTGCTTTTTTCCAGTACACAGAAAAATCTAATTTCCGACACAGCCAAGATTTCAATAAATAAGCAACGCTCATAACAATGGCGGGATGCTAGAGAAATATGAAACTGAACACATCTTCGGCAAGGCATATATATTATTTATCACAATCCACAGATCAGAGTGATAGCTTTAAGCTAGTAGAGAGCCATCAATTTAGATAATCAGGGTCTTTGTGTGAGGAAGAACAGCTGAAAAGTGTGGGGAATTTCTTATCTTAGAAATGGGAAGGACTTTAAAAACCTTTCACTTCCAGAATAAAAAAGGGGCTATTGTTTGGTAGCTTTCAGGTACAAATTAAAGCTTAGCTTCTGGGGATACATCTGAAAGACTCAAGAATACAACACAGCGCAATCCTATTGCTAACAGAAGCTAATGTTCCTTTTTAAAAAATGTTATGGCCTTTCGGGAATGAGCACTATTTCAAAAGCCAACTGCATGCCAATCCGCAATAAGATCAAGTGCAGCAAGTCAAAGTGAAGCCATTCTAGGACAAGGAGAAAAACTTATACTGGAATTTTCACTCATACCAAAGAACAAGTCCATCCTTTTATAGAAATGAAATGTAATTTATCTGTGAGCAGAATTAATTTTATTGTGCTTTCTTCAGGTGGTCTGGTGTCCTCATTTTTAGCCACTGATCAAACTTCACCAAGTCTTTTTACTGGTAATATTGGTAGTATTCACACAATGTGGGGGGAGTGTTGTTCTGAGAGTAGAACAAGGCACTTCATCCCAACAAAACAGCATCCCTAGCCAGTCAAGTATTTACTTCTTTTTCTTATGCCATATCCATCATCGGATGTTGGCGACCATGTTGGCAATTGTAGTTACTGTAGTTACTGTATGCTGTAATTCTGAAAGGCACAAGCTCACTTTCTAATTTGAAAAGCAAGGCGAGGGGCACGGTGTACATTGCTGTTGTCTTATCACCACAGAATAAGCCAGAACTAGGGGACATATTGTCAAATTCAGTGTGTCTTCCAGTGATTTTCTGCCACTTCTGCTCCTGAAGTCATCAGAGAACCAAGGGGCAAACTGGAATTGGACAAACAAAGAGAGGCCATTCAAAAGTGACTTTGTCAAGGAGCCAAGATACTGTCTCATGTCAGCACTGAATCTGGTCCTCAAGTTTATCAGGAAACTCCCTAGGTGCATGCTGGAAACCAAGGGAATCCATGAGGCATCTGAGACAGATTTTCTGAAGGGACTTGGCCCTGTGGAGGAAATGGGCAACAGTTGTATCTGGATCAGAGAATGTTCTGCCACAACAAAGGACAGGTGGTAATACTTTCCACATCTGGATCGCCAAACAACTACTCAGAGGCAAAACCCAGGTCTACATGTCCCTCAAGGCCATTCCTTCCATCCTCTGCACAAGGGTACATGTCAAATCTGCCCATTCATCACCACCAAATTGTGGATGGATGTGGCCTTCTTACAGACAGATCTGGCATTAACCAACACCAACTGAAGGTCAGGTGGTCCAGCAAACCAGTCCCCAGTTCTCCTGGTAGAAGTAATCAAAGAAGAAACTATGAGTAAATTGGGTAAATTCTTCCCCTGAAATGAACTTGTCATTTAATATGTATGTGCATAAACTGCATCTGCTTGTGAATCAAATGACAAAAAAAAGAGTGAAATTATATTCTTCAACCAATAACCATAAGAAGGAACCAATACCTCATTCTGAAAGAAAGTCCAGAAGAAGAACGCAAGCTAGAATTTTGTGGGAAATAAGTTTTCTACTGGGAAAAGCAGTTTTAAGGTTTATAGATACTGCATTGTCAGTTACTGTAAATAAACTAAGTTATTACTGGTTTAATAACTAACTAAAGTTCTGGGACATTTTATAAAAAACAAACCAGAAGTTAAAGAATGTAGTAAAAAAAGAATGTAGTAAAATCAGAAACATGAACTTAATCCAGAACTCTAAATGCCTCAAAGGATATAATAACACAATTGAATCAAATACAGCATTAGGGTGATCAGCATGGTAAACTGATTTAGAAAAAGATCCATAGCAATACCAAGGGCTGCACCGCGAATGCACTGTCTGGATATATAGACATTTCATATGTTTGAATTGAAAGCCAGCGCCCAAGACTGCATGCACTGGATCAATTAATGATAAAGTGGAACTGGAAGAATGTCTTTATGAGCTGCAACTGTGCATTCTGACAGTCAGCAAAATCTTTCTCATTTCAGTGAATAGTTCAGAGCAGCTCCTGGAGCTCCAAATTGCAAGAATAAGACAAGAAACGAGAGTGTGGACACAAGCTGAAAAGTGCAAACAATCCTTAGATTTTTGAGGGGGGGAAACTGACAGAACACAACAGGCACTTGTATACAGCATGATTAAGACAGCATAATTTAAGAATGTAGGCCTTTTACTGTGTCTCCCAGGCAATCTCGGGAACGCAGCTTTCATCATAATGAACTAGGCATGGTGGCTGTTTTTCTTCTGTTGCATTACATTTCTGGAAGATTATTTGGTTCAGCTGCCTGGATGACATGTGACTGATTAAAATTGTCCAGGTGCCAAGTTTTGTGTATCCCAAGACAGTTCTTGGAGCTTATCGCTGTTCAAAAAGCAACACACCCACACACCACTGAGTTTTTTCTCACCAATCTGCTAAAGCCACTTTACTGTTGCACTTCAAAATGGTGCAACCCCCCCCCCCACCTGTTCTTGCTGCTGAACTTGGTGGAGTTTCTCTTGTTTATAATGAACTCTCTTCTTTCTGGATTATTTGCAGAAAACACAGTAAAAAAGAGAATCATAGGATGAATGACTCAGAAGTCAAAGGAAAGGTAGCCCTCGACTTACAACGGTGATTGAGCCCACTCAGTGTCATGAATCATCACGTGGCCGCACCTGATTTTACAATATTTTTTGCAGTGGTCATTGAGCAAACACATAGTTGTTAAACAAGCTCATTTTTTGCTATGGGCATTTTTTTTTTTTTGCAATAAACCAGAATTAAGCAGAAGGTTCTGGCAAAACGGTATAAATTGCAGCCACCTGACCATGGACATTGCAAACAGATTTAAATGCAGGTCAGTTTCCAAGTGTTCACAATGCAATTATGTGAGCACAAAATGGAGGCAGCTGTTGGAACTTTGATTCCAGGTCTTAAGTAGCTTCTGGGGGATCCATTGTAAGTTCAAATGGTCAGTAAGATACTGGTTGTATGTCAAGGACTACCTGTATCTACTGAACACATTTTACAGACAATCCTTGACTTATGACTGGTTGCTTAATACCCATTCAAAGTTATGATAAACCTCCCCAGGAGTATTTATGATCTGGTTCTGAAGTTCCAACGGTCAGGATTCCCTTGCAGACACGTGACTGCTTTTCTCATCCTCTGCCATCCCCTTCTCCCTTTGCCTTCAATTCATAGGGAGTACTAACAACTCAGTAAGGAATTAGTCAATGAGTTAAATGGTTTTTGAAAATTTTAAAACTTCAATTTCATTAGCATGCGTTACCTAATTCCATGATTCTTTTAAAAATGTTAAATTAAAAATTAAATTAAAAAAGACCAGCTACTACTTCTGCAAAGGTGTGATCATCAGCTACTCCTGACTTTTGATATTGAAAATTTCACATAAGGTACATACCTTTCCCTTCAAGGATTAACTTGCTATGTGGGAGAATCTGAGCATATGCATGCATGCTCCTGTTAGAAAGGCACCCAGCGAGTAGCATTGAAAGGAAAGAAGCTGCTTGCGTAATTTACCAGAGAAATGTTCAGAGACAGAAAAGGGAAATGCACATACAAGAGACATATGTAGGTAATTGTTTTAAAACATTATTTGAAAAAAATATGGTGTTGCAATGGATTTCCATGGAAACAATGGTGGACACAGATTTGGTTTTGGGGGATTCAACAACCTTGGAGAACAGTTTGCTGGCAAACA